CATGCGCAGAAGAATTATTGGCTGAACTTATACTTCGATGAACTTCGGGGAGTGCGCCCTCTTAACCATGTAATAAATATTAAATATTTGTACAATACTTAAAATCCGATGTCCTATAGTAGTGACATAACACGTGTTATTATAATACCGACCTGGTTTCACTGGCACTGTAAAATACGTACGACTGAGCATGCACGCATGCGTGGAATCGCTAAATCACAGGCAGCGATGTTTATCTCGAATACGTGTGCAAACAGCCCGTGTTGTAGACGTGCATACAATCTCTTGTTTATTTGTTGCTGTTTTCGCAATAAAATAATGTCACGTGAGTGTGTAAATAACGAAAGGCGTACTCCTGCTAACTTTTGTTTATCCGAAGTTCCGTACTACCTCATTCTGAAAGAAAAACTAAAATACACTTTAAAAAATAATGACGATAATGATACAAATAGCAAAATACATAAATGACCGTTTTAAAATGATCAGAAAAGAAAAATTGAAAACACCAAAAATAAGTTACCGGCACTTATTACCTCCAAGCATTTTATTTGCGGGAGAAACAATATATATAACACAACATAACACAACATTACAAAAATCAAAGAAAGCTTAGAAAGAATTCCCATGTGCTGAGAGTATTGTAACACATTAAATATAATTCGGAATTACTTAGCTGAAAACTAATTATGCAAATCAGAAAATTAATATGAACAGATTTTAGTGTAAAACTAATGAGATCTTCGCAATGTAACAGAACATCTATGTACCAAGTTTAATTGAAATGTGATTAGAACCAAAAAATTATGAATTATTACGCTAATTAGGGAATTAATATGAACAGATTTTCACCTCAAACTAATTAGGTTTGTACATTGTCCTAGAGCATATTTGTAATAAGTTTCATTGAAATGAAAAAATTAGTACTTTAGATATCAGTGTGAAAGCTTAAAATTGGTTAATTATGCAAATTAGGCAATTAATATGTACAGATTTTTACCCACAATTATCGAGGTCTGTATATTGTCCTACAGCATCTATGTACAAACATTCATTGATATGTGATGATTAGTACCTGAGATATCAGTGTGAAAGTTGGAAATTATTTATGCAAATTAGGTAATTAATATGCACAATTATTTAGCCTAAAACTAATCAGGTCTCTGCATTGTCCTAAAGGATCTATGTACCAAGTTTCATTGAAATGCGATGATTAGTACTTGAGATACCCGTGGAAAAGCTGAAAATTAACTAATTATGCAAATTAGGTGATTAATATGCACAAATATTTATCCGAAACAATCAATCTCTGCATAGTCCTTGAATATTTAAGTACCAAGTTTCATTGAAATATAATGCTCACTACTTACATCAAAAGCTGAAAATTAATTAATTATGCAAATTAGGTAATTATATGTACTGATATTACCATAAAAACTATCAGGTCTGTGCAGTGTCATATGACATCTATGTACCAAGTTTCATTGAAATGTGATGATTAGTACTTGAGATATCAGTGGAAAAAACGAAAATTGACTAATCATTATGCAAATTAGGTAATTAGTATCCACGGATTATTACCAAAAACTAATCAAAACCTAGCTTTAGTTCAGAGCATCTATGTACCAAGTTTCATCAAAATCCAATGAGTGGTTGTTTAGATATCAGTGGAACAGTCATGATACCACTAAAAATAGCTAATTATCATGCAAATTAGGTCATTAATATGCACGGATTTTTACCAAAAAACTAATCAAATCTGCGCATATGTTCAGAGCAATCTATGTATCAAGTTACATCAAAATTCAATGAGTGATTCTTTAGATATCAGTGGAATAGTCATAGAACAGCTAAAAATTAGCTAATTATCATGCAAATTAGGTAATTAACGAGCATGGATCTTTACCAAAACCTAATCAAATCTGCGCATTGGCAGTGGAACAGTCGGACGCACATGGGGGTCAACAACATACATAACACTTTAAAAACAACATACATAACACAACATTACACAAGCAACATACATAACACAACATAACACAACATTACAAAAACAACATACATAACACAACACTTTAAAAACAACATACATAACACAACATTGCAAAAGCAACATACATAACACAACATTACAAAAACAACATACATAACACAACATTTCAGAAACAACATACATACACAACATTACAAAAACGCAACTTGCACACCGTTGATAAGTAAGTATTTGAAAATAAATTAATTTATGTATAATCAGATACAACCAGTATACTTGAGAGTGGGGTCGTTTGAAGAAAAACATTTGAAAGAAAACACCATGATGTCCGATTACCAATATAAGGTTCGTTTACTGTCATAAATCTGTCAGTGTGATACACAACGTATTTTCTTCCTAATAAATTACGAGCAAGCATGAAATAGTTGACACCGGGTTCCTACCGCACTATATCATGGTGGTAATTACTATGATCAAACAGAACACGGAATTCAGATGTTGGGTTATTTTGTATTTGTAAATCTCTTGCACGTTTTTTTTTTGTAATGTACATGATTTCTTGTTCTTGAAATAAGTATGTGTTCCACTGATTGTTCAGAGATCAGCTCGGGTAACATCATTATGACGTAACACAGCATGGTCATAATTGTTCATCAGGCTCGGAGGTTCCAACTGTTTACAGTATACGAAGGTATATCTACCCGGGTTGGTATTGCGCCATGACACAGGCTGGCAAGTTCATCCCGGGTGGAGTTACAATTTAAGGGCAGTTAGGGATTCATAATATTTCAGAACGAGGATGTGCTTCCATGTGCGTAAAAGGGGGCCTTTATTCTTGTACGATTTATTTATTGACATTAGTTTAGATATTTCGATGGGCGCTTCTGCAACTTTTTTAAGGCGGATATTATTGACGACTTGTTTGTCTTCCTCTCGCTATCGAATCAAGTACAGTAAATGTATTCCAATACCAGTAAGTACCATTTCATCTTGTGTGTGTTGGTACAGTGTAGCTATTTTGATGGGAATTCCACTGATAGGGCCCAAGGTCTTCAGTAACGGCCGGGTATCAGTGAGCGCTCTATCACATTACGACTGACACTCAGATATTGGCGTCATTGAACCACACCGTTTTTTCAACCATGATGCCTTGCTGGCCACTTTCATCATGTACTGATTGTGCAACGTACACATCGCATCGTATCGCTACATCGTTTTTTCTCTTAAGAGCGCCTCAGTGAATCAATTGATCCTTCGCTGGCCGCTTTCAGCGTGTACCAATTTCAATGCGACGTACGCATTCTCATTTTATCGCTGTTGTCTCAACCATAAACATTACAGAGAAGAGCGGAACCTATGATACATGTCATCGATGACACTCATGGGAGTAATCGAAGTTTTTTTTAGTCCGAAGTAAAGTTCTCTGCCGGGTGGATGTGACGTTCAAACTTTCCGCAACGAACGAACTGCGAACCAGTAGTAGACTAGAAACACGTATGCACCCGTGTTTAATATTAAGTAACCTTCTACTAGAATTAAGACTAGATATTTCTGACAGTATTCTTAGTGCGCAATCATTTTTACAGACCATAGTCCATCTTGTTTATCTGCTTTGTGGCTGTGATAATATAATTGATAAATGTAACGTGTGAATTACGTGTATGTTCCACGGAATTCATCACAGATAAGGAGACGAAGAGTGATTAGATCAACCCAACCCAGTTATATATAGCATATGATACAATCCCATACTGGCATAGCGATTCTAACTAATTATTAATATTTGATTACCAAAGATAAGCTGTAGTATATCCTATTTTAATGTTTAACTTACATTCCACTTATTAAATCGTGATTTCATAAGTGACAATGACTGCCAGGCAACCAAATTTTTGGCAGCCAACTGACAAATTTAATAGACAAGAATTTATTATGATTTACAAATACATAATAAACCATTCAGAAAATTATGTAAAAAATCTTATGTCCTTTGCATAATTATCGGTGATATTAATTCACTTACAAGAGAATAAGATGCCTTTGTGCTGCAAATTGCGTGGTTTATCACTCAGACAGATATTGCTGTAAATCAATTTATAACAATAAGTAAATATGAAGTATGATGCATATGTGCAAAGTGTTGATATGTTGGGAGAAGTGTCTAATCTGTCAGAACGACCTAAATATTTACTTTAATCACCATTGGTTAAATTTAGTTGCCATGGC